CAGCCCTTGTCTTCTGATCTCTGGAAGCCAGCAACCGTGTTGCCTTGAACATGCCACAGAAACACAGGATGGCTGAGGTTGGAAGGGACCTCTAGAGATCACTAGTCCAATCTTCCTGCTCCAGTGGGAACACCCAGAGCACGGGGCACAGGGCGGCATCCAGGTGGGGTTTGAAGCCCTCCAGAGAAGGAGACTCCACAGCCTCCCTGGGCAGCCTGTGCCAGGGCTCTGTCACCCTCACAGGAAAGAAGTTCCTCCTCACATGGAGATGGAGCTGCCTGGGTTTCAATCGGCACCCACTACCCCTTGTCCTGTCACTGACAAGAGTTTGGCCCCATCCTCACTACATTCTCCCCTCAGATATTTCTACATATCGATGASATCTCCTCTCAGTCTTTCCTTCTCTGCACCAAACAGGCCCAGGTAACTTAGTCCTTCCTCATAAGATTCCAGTTCCTTAATCATCCTTGTCACTCTACATGGACCCTTTGTAGGAGTTCCACATCCCTCTTACACAGGGAAGGCCAGAACTGCACACAAAACTATGTAATACACAATTTCCCAGCTTTTCAGCTGCTACCACACATTTATGCACTTTCCCATTGCATCAGCTCTGCTCGTACRCAGATAAGCATTAGATACAGATTCTCTGGTGGAAACGGATCTTATAACTTGCAATATTTGCTGCATTAAATATCCAGAATTGATGCAGTTCTTTTTCTGCTGCACAGAGCTGAAGTACAATGCTGCTCATTATAAAACAATGAACTTTAAAGAAAAGAATGCTACAATTCCAGTTCTTTAATCCTAAGTAGTTGTTGCAAGGGCATACAGCAGTTACTGTCTACCAGGTTCCTCAGCCCCAAAGCCAGGCTTTTAAATTCTGAAAACTGTAACTGGCAAGACAAACACAAAGTGTGCTTTTACACAGGATAGCCTTCCCCTCAAGCATTGCTACTTTCTTGGATTTATAGAGGCAGAAATGGGGAAGTTCACAGAAGCGGCTTCAGCATATTCTATTAATGGTGTGGTTTCCAGCTTAACATTGGCTAAAGGGACAGAAACACTTGTTAAGTTTCCCACTTGTTGCTGAACAAACACACCAGCTGTGAGCATGTCATTCAAGCTCACCTGTCTGCCACAGGAAAGCTGGACAGTTACCCCCTCCCAGGCCAAAACTACAGCAGAACCCACTTCTAGTCTTCTTAAAGTATGTCTTAAGGACATACTGTGCAATAAGTCTGACTTTACATCCAGGAGAAACTGAGCCAAATTCTAAGCCAGCCTATCAGTCACCTCCATTTCAGTCCACTTGCTGAGAAGTATCATCCTTGGAGCCTCCAAACCCGCCTGATTAGAGTACCTAAACAAAAGCAAACAGACAGATCCACTGATGCAAAYGCAGAGACGTTTGGCAATGGGAGCTGCTCCGCGGGACTTTGTTCCAAATGTTGGCCACCTCAACTGTTCCAGATTCAGGCCTGGCTGCCACCTGGGGTTTGTCCGATTCAGCTGTAGTTATTCTTAACTTCACACTTCAAAAATTCCTGAATATCAGATACCTTATCCCTCTAGAGTTAATTTTGCAAACTGTGTCTGTAATCTCACCAAATACACTTAAGTACATAACCAATACTTTCTGTAGCAGCAAGTTCCCTGACATTTTTTCTTCTTTGCTCCCTTAATCAGCTATTCTGTGGATTTTTTTCCCCTTGACTGCTTTAAACTAATTAGTGTCTAGTTATTTGCACTTCCCTATTTATCTTTTGTTTATAATTGCAGGACAGCAGTCTCCCTGAATCTCTTTCCTTGTACAGTATCTCTTAAAAGTTTAATTGAAGAGACTTTCCCAGCGAAGCAGACAGACAGACACAAAACTACCCATCTGGTTTGATGGAAAGCATGCTTCTCAGTTTTGCATAAAGGAAGAACAGTGTTCCATCCTCTTATATTAAAAAAAAAAAAAAAAAAGAAAGCACCCCACACACAGAGGTCCTAGAATACACAGATGCATTGATTGAACATTTCTGGATCTTTAAACACTATTGTCTCCCTATGCTGACAGACAAATAGGGCAAACAGATTTTCTTTCACTCCTGATGTACAGAGCCTGAATTATGCTATTTACAGATTTTTTTCTCAAAGATTATTTTAAATATAATTTTTAATCAATTTTTCTGACTTCGTCTTCTGTCTTCCTCTCCCACTAAGTGGTCAAATTTTGAAGAAAAATTTTCTCTATGTGCTATCACTGTTGCACATCACATTGTCCTACCTTATGCTTCTGGATAGTGGGAAAAAAAAAAATCTAATTTCTACCACTGGGAGGAAATAAACAGCACAGAAAGAAATATGTATATAGCCACATATGAAAGCAAGGAAAATACCATTGTATCATTTGAATCTTTAAGCAAAACACCTATGAAGAGACATATGGTTTATCAATTAGCTATGAAAAAGTTGAGGAAAGTCATTTAATGGCTACCTTTACAGGTGCATGACTGATTTTATTTCTCAGACACTTTAAGATTTCCTTCCTGCCACATGTATTTTCTTRGAATTTGGAGGAATTAACCTGTTCTAACAGGCTACAGGCTACTCATTCCAAACAAGTTTCAGTATCTACAAAACGGTCTTAGAGCCGCACACAGACTTACAGCCACAGAAATAGAAGATGAACTGGTTAATTATGGCACAGGCTTTGTACCAGAGCACTTGACAACAAATGTGGCTTCTATTTCAAAAATTGCTTCAGTGAGATCTAAAACTGAAAGATGATTTAAAAAGGAAAACATCATGCCCCTCTCAAAAAAAAAAAAACCCCAAAAGCAAGCAAACAAACAAAAAAATCCAAACCCCCAAAACAGTAATTGGACTTGAAAGTTCCTGCCCCAGTCAGCTGTTTTCCTTAAAGGATGAAGGCAGAGCACTTCCTTAAAGGGGGATACACAGTCTCCACACTGACAACTGACAGAGGCCTATAACACATACTGAGACTGTAGCTGTGACCGTTCACTTCTCTGCAAGCTTTTCCCAGAGAGGGATGATACACAAAATGACTGACAATAAGAAATAAATAACCGGAGTTTCAATCTTGTTTCATTATCATCATCATGACAAGATGATTTATTTACATTTGCATCTGGACAGGATATGATTTATCAGATTGCCATGGAAATGTATCACCATATGCCTAAATACGCACATACACGTAACCTAAACTGATAAGATCCAGCAAATACTGAGAATTCCTGTGATGTGACTATCACACTTGCAAGTTGCACAGGCCAGCTTGCGTAATTGGAGAAATGTTAATTTCCAAGAAAACAAAACAAACTGAATTACACTCACAGGGATGACGGCGGAGGGAGAAAGATGCTGTGCTCATAAAATAAGCAAGGCTACATCCCTCAGCTGTAACCTGCATTTCCTGAGCATGCTGCTTTCCAGTACTGTGTGTGTGGATTTCATGGATCAGCACTGGGAGAGGAGGGCATTAGAAGCTGGACTATGGATCTTGCCTCGGGAGGTGTCAAGGGGAAAGGCTCTCGGGCACAGCGAGCACTGCCCTGCACTGCTGGGAAGCAGAATTTCCAACAGCACTAGTGAGTGTGTCACAAGTTGTCACCTTGCAAAACGGGCAGTCTGCCACTGTCTTGACAAACTCTCCTGTAAGTTTATCAATTYGCTACGGACATAAGAAGCCTCACCGAGAAGCAGTTATCACCCAAACTGTAAGTGCCCTCACTTGATTGGGCCTCTAAGGTCTATAACAAGCAGCATAATATTCAGATTTGCAGATTATTAACATGCAGAGAAAGCCTTTCCAAATGCTCTTACAGTTCTTATTGAGGGATCTCCATGGCAGACTTTTMCCTGATCTTGAGATCTGACCACGCAGAGTATCTCCTGCATGTGCAGAACAAGAACAGAGCAAGTATAGAGCACATCCTGTGCAGACAGCTGCCAAGTAGCTGGTGGGTGACTGTGGGGTAGAGGGAGAGGGGGAAACAACGCAAAACCAAAACAGAAAGGAAACCGAAACAATGGAAACACTCCTGCAAAAGAACAAGCTTAAACAACTGAAGGGTCAGGTAGCCCTTGCATTCCCCTTCTCTGGCTCAGCTCTCAAACTGGATGAGGATCAAATTGCAGGAACATGTCAGATGCTCTGTATTCATTCATAACAGAGTAACCCCATGAAATGGGGAGCAATAGGCAACACGACCCCACAGGTTTTCAGCACTCCTGAGTCTGGTAAGCCAGGAAGTGCCATCAATGAGGAGGCCAAACTTGCAGGTGACCCCATACACATACACAAGGGCCTCTCCAATCCCAGCAGTTCACGGAAGAGTTGATCTCCCCTCAGATTCATTTCTCAGCACTCCACTGCCCACTCCTAACATATCGTTTTCTTCTTCTTCACTAAGAAAAATATCACTTCTTTTACCGTGGCCACCCTATTCACACCACAGCCTTCGCTGTGGGGTTGAGGCCAGAGCTTTTTCCCAAGGACATGAGCCTCCTCAAGGCCTCCCAGGCTCCACACGCAGACGCCAAAGGCTGAGGCCCTGGTTAGCACAGGCGGAGGTGTGCACACGTACAGGCGGAGGTGTGCACACGTACAGGCGGAGGTGTGCACACGTACAGGCGGAGGTGTGCACACGCACACCCCGTGCTGCGGGGCACGGCTACCTCTGCCCACACCAGGTATCCGTCCAGGACGGCGGCACGCGGCTCTCCTTTCCCAGAGCCCTCACTGCACCCTGGGCATTCACCCATCCGACACGCAGAACAAGGGTTTCCAGCACAGCACCTCAACCCCTCTTCCACCCGTGGAGACCCCAGCAAACCCGGCCCGCGAGGCAGGTCCCCATGCACAGAGAGGTGCCACGCACGCCACAGCCCGCACGCACCCTGCCGACCCACGGGCTGCGGCGCGAGCGGGACCCTGGCGCGCGGGCGCCGCGTGGCGAGGCCCCGTCCCGTCCCGCACCCACCTTCTCCTTCTTGGCGGAGGGGACGAGCTGCTCGCCGCCCTGGCCGTGCTGCTGGCCGGCGCCCTGGGCCGCGCCGCCGCCGCTCTCCACCTTGACGAGCCGGTGCTTGCGGGAGAGGCCGCCCGCGTCGTGCGCGGCCGCGCGGCGCTCGCTGTGGCTGC